TCTAAAATGAAACTGTTAACCGTTTTGACTACACCTTTTCTTAACCACACTGGGAGGTGCTCACGAGTCTGAATATCTGAACATCTGCCAATATAACTTACTACACAGGAGCAGTTGAATTGATAGATACAGAAAGACGTGGCTAGTTTAGGTAATTTATCTTTCAAACTCGGAGCCATCATTGGACGTGTAGTAGTTTACCTGCATTAAAAGTTCTTTGGATTAATCTGCGTAACTTCAGTCTTAGCATTTTACTAGGTACATCGCCTCTGAATTGTAAGCGCGTACACAGAGGCTTTTTATTCACAGTTAGGTGTTCTCTATGCTCTCCTTTATTGATTAAGTTTTTATTTATAAATTCTCCGGATATCTGTTTTCTTTCAATGCCGTGTACAGTGCCTTTATTTCATCTTCGGCTATATCGAGAGAGCATATGGTCTTGATACTATTTTAAAGTGTCTTAATCAGCTTTCTTTTGTTTTGTAGAGGAACAAAACTAAAAAAGTTTGTATATTGGCCCGTCCAAGTAGTTTTCTTGTTTATTTTTCTTCTTAATGACCTGTTTTTTCTTCTTGTATGTAGAACATCTAGAAAGGCTATTCTACCTTTACTTTCTTTCTCACATGTCAATCTTATGAACATTAGAGCCAATTGATCAGCTTCCATTGGCATACATTTACAATTTTCATTGATTTGCAATGTAGCCTGACTATCATCTAGGGTTATTAGATATGTCTGTACTTCATTGATTACTGCTTCTCATTAGAATTTTAGGAGCTTGCGAAATAACTTCCATATTCTTCCTAGTTTTTAGTGATATCCCAACTGAGATAAGACAATAACGCAAATAACCTAGAAATCAAATGATTCAATACAACACCTTAATTAATCTATTATTTTCACAGATGACGTTTCTACTATATATATTTCACATTTTTCTGTTTTCTTTGCACATACTACTGATTTCGATTATGACCTTTATTTATGTACCAATTTTTATAATAACATGAAAACTAATCATCTTCATAGACAAAACAAAACAAACAAACTTTTAGTTAATCGTCAATTCCGGGGAATAAACACGTTTTTCTCTGAAATCTTGTTATCACAAAGTTTATCTGATTAAAATAATCCATCGTGTTTTGATAAAATAAAAACATACATTACATTTTATGATTTATATCAGAAGGGGTGTTTCTTGTGGATATTATAGTAATTTTAATAGTTGAGATCATGAGTCAATTGAAGTTAGACTACTATGGAAAACCTGGAAGCACTGGATGGCTGTTTCACTCTAGTATGGGACTTCTCATTAGTACGCATCCATGATCCCGCATTGCGAGATTCGAATCCAGGACCTACCGGTCTCATGAGTGAGCACTTAACCTTTAGACCACTAAGTTTATTTATATAATAAACAATTTCATCGGTCATTCTATTCATTGTACTTCATTCTTTACTAAGACATCTTAATGAATGCGATTATTTCATTAAGTCATAGGTATTCATTGTACAATTGATATTTCAAAATAAGTTTCAACTAAAATAAACAAATAAATGATAATAATAATTTAAATTTTATTATTCAATTATTGACATAACAGAGTTATTAGTTATAGTTAGTTGTATAATATACCCTTGTGAGTTAGAGTAATTTAATATTGGTATTCAGGCGGACCGGACACCATCCAGACTTTCATATGACAATCTAAATAGTACAGCTCAATCCCGTTTAACAGAAGAGCCAGAATTATTAGTCCACACATAAATTTCTTTTTCTCTTCATTAAAAATCACAAATGGATCAAAATTAAGCAACTACTGGAAACCAGGAAATACTAGACGAACATTCTGTTTTAGTATAGGATTCTTTTACGGTGCGCATTCACTACCCCCATAACTGGGTTTCAAATCTAGTTCTTTTGATCTAGTGCTCAAATGTTTAATCTTAATGAAATTCAACAATCTCCGTAACCCTATAATGCCATATATCATGTGTTTACTAGTGACTAGCTTGAAAACGGAATTTCTGGAGTTCTGGTGAAAAGTCGTGACTAGTGGAGTTAAACCGCATAGATTATGAGGAAGTTATCAATGAAGACAATGCAGTAATTAAAATCAGAGTTGTAAACCATTGAATTCTGGCTCTCAATGTTCTATAGATTAGAAGTTTGAGTGCTAGGTTGAATCTCCTCAGCTCTATTTCCTGATTAGGTGGGTTGTGAATATTCACTACTGAGGATTTGTATAATGAAACGAAATTTGTCCAATCTCTACACCCCTCATACTGATGGTTTATCCTATTTTTGGTGTTCTTAGGTTGATTCTGAAAAAGAGTATCAAGTAGTGTGTAACTTTTTTTAATTATTGAATCAAGTCAATAATTTCACTGATAATCAATGATAAATATCTACCTGCAGGATGAAAATGAATATTTTGAAGTTTCTACTTCTGTTAACATTTCATGCAAGTAATCTCTCCAGAATAATAAAATGATACATCTGAAGGTTGATTATACAACTGACTTTAACACTTTCAATCAGAACAAATTTATGATACATGATATTTTGTTGTTGTTGAATAAAACATCAAAACTATTTCGGGGAAAGGCGAAGACGAGAAAGAAAGAACCAGTATTTCTGATTTTCAAGGATTAACTACATTATTATTTCATTGAACAAATTAACCACTATAGTTTATTACACTGGTTGAAAACGTGACAGTTCAGTCGGGTGTACTATGATTTTTAGATCTATCTGTTTATCAATGCTTTTATGTCACATTTTTCGTTAATTCAGTCCTGGAGTAAACATAAGATACAGGTACATCCAGTTAACAAGTCCCGAATCGAACGAAACGCGCGTTCTGGATACTAGTGCTAGTTATCATCCATATATGCTTAAAATGCTTGTGACTTAATTGCGATATCGAGACAATGCGCATAGGATGCACAGATGCCAGAAAAAGACTGACCACTTCTAGTTCTAAACATCAATGAAAAGATCCGAACAACAAATATATATGTGTGAACAGTGTAAATTATGTTGAATTTGGCTTTAAGAGCCAACGGCATTGAATGGTTGCTGCGCTACATCACAAATTGGTTCTAATAGTTAGGTTTCTACCCTAATATCTGAAGGTTGTTAATTGGACCTGTGGTGAAGTTGTGTATTCCCACTATTGGGCATGTCCTTATTGCGATGAAAGAGCTATTTAATACTTTCTGGTTTTTGTTGTAACGGGTGACTGCAGGTTATGATAAACAGCGTATTTATCGATCGCTTCTGTGACAGTGACACGTAAACACGTAGTGGACGACCTAGTGCCCTGATTGGCCCTGCTTCGCTGTCTGTCCTAGCCAGTTGAGTCAAGAACACAAGTCACAGCCTCTGAGTTATGAATCATTTTATTTCAGACATACTCTATTTATATATCAAACAAACAAACCACATCGTACCATAAAATAGAAAACAACATTTACACAATATTTAACAAGTGAAATAAACATCGACCAATAGGAAATGTACATTTAAGGTCCAAGGCCACCATAGACTTAACACGATAATTATTGGTATATTTTCCCGACTATCCTAACAGTTATGTATGGTAAATTTAACACAGATGCAACTCATAAACTATCAGATTGTCGAATGCAATCATTTGAAGTTAAGGAATATCGCTGAATACTTTTTTTGGAATGGTTTATTGAAATAACACCATGATGAACGCTAAACAAATAGTTCGTATAAATGAAAAAAGGATATTCATGTAGTTGAAAAATTAACTAATAATCATAAACTATTAGTTAGCACATTATTTTGACGGTAGTTTATAACGCGCAATGGTATAAGCTAAACAACTATTAAAAACAAGGAAATGTTGAACAATCTTTTCATTTTAACTTGGGATTCTTAGAAGTGTACACTTACAACTATGTCAAGGATCTAAAGCAGGACCTTTGTGTTTTACTGAAAACATTTAGCATTGAATCTATTGAGTTACTATATGCCAGTTTATACTACCAACTTCAATGAAATGGTAATAATTGTTAGTTATATGAGGCAGTATTAAATAAGGTGATAGAGTAGAAACTTAAAATTTATGCAGTCACTTGAGTATTTCGCTCTATAATATACTTATACATAATTAAAGGACAATAAATAGTATATATATATGGACACATGACCTTAGATTTCAATCTATAACCTTAGTACTGTTAACGTAATGATATTTAAACTGAGTATATGATGATAATAACATACTAAGACGAAACGGTCGTCTAGTGCTTCTAGGTTTTCAATGGTGATCTAACATCAATCTGTTCATGATCTCAATCAAAAACTTAATAATCTCCACAACCCTATACTGATAATAACTGTGTGCCCACTAGTGACTAGCTTCGTGAAGGAATTCTAGGAGTTCTAGTGAGAAGCCGTGACCAGTAGAGCTATAGTAGAGACAGATATTTACATCAGTACAATGGAAGATGGTCGCGCAATGTCGCCGACTCAGTGGTTTAGCTGTCACGCGTTCGCACGCGTGAATGATATGCCCTGGGTTATAATATCGCGAGACGGGATCGTGAATGCTCACTGCTGAGGAGTTCAACAATACGACGAAACGATCTTCCACTGTTTCCAGGATTTCAATGGTAGTCTAACGTCAATCTCTTCATGATCTCAATCAAAATGAACATAAGTTCAGGTTTCGTTCAAAGTCATAGTAATCTTCTTAACTTTTTAAAAGCAGAAACAAGAATACGTGAATATCTAAAGTGTGTTGACTGAAATTACTTTCCAACAGTTTCCTTTTAAGCAGGTTAACAGATACATTAGCAGCTCAGAAAGTCATTACTTTTCAATAAAGAGTTCAAAGTGACGTTTATCTAGATGAATTAGACAATTTCGAAAGTCATAGGTTTGCTTGTTCACTCTTTTAAAACATCTGTTCAATACATTCCCAGTTCCAGTGGTTTATAGGCAAGTGTCATTTAGTCTTTAGGATTCATGGTAATAATAATAATAATAATAATAATAATAATAATAATAATAATAATAATAATAATAATACTCGTCTTTTTATATTCTCTATTACAGTACTTTATCAATTCGCCTTGGATAATCGAATAGTTTGGACAGTTGGACAAAATTGTTATTTTCCAAGTTTTGTACATCATTCACATGAATCAATTTGGATGACAGATTATGGTTTAAATAGTTTACACCAACAATCTCAAAATAGTAATGACAACAACAATAATAATGTTAAGAAAACATCATTATTCTATTCACTTCAGTTACCGGAAGAATTGTACAATTATAAATTTAATTTTTTAAATTTACAATATGGTTGGTTACAAATGTTATTTACAAGAGATTCACATCATGCATGGTTATTCTTATCATGTCATCATATTCTTTATACAAAACATCAGATTTTTTTTACATCATTAAAAGATTACTTAACGACTATTTGCAGTGTAGATGACCAAACTACTTACAAAAGTAATAGTAGTAATAATACACATTGGTTTAGTGCTACAAACAGTAGAAGTATGGATTATACAAAATTAATGTATAATAATAATAATAATAATAATAATAATAATAATAATAATAATAATAATAATAATAATAATAATAATAATAATAATAATGAGAATAGTAATCCTACAAGCAGTTTACAAGCATCATTAGGTTATGTGAAACTGTCATGTTCTTGGCAATCCGGTAAAAATATTTATTTAGTACAATTTACACATCCTAAAGGAAAGTGAGTACAGTGTTTTATTCATTTTAAAATATTTTCATATTTATTTATTGGTAAACTTTTTATCCCCCTTATGTGACAACAACTAAATAGTGACTTTAATTGGCGTCTCTCATCAAATAGCTTCTGTCAAGTAACCATGTTAATAAAGCGTATAAATAAAAGCCGAATACAGAAGCTCTTCAGATTTGTATCCTATAAACTTTCATACACAAGAAAAAATACGGTAAAAACCAATAGGTGAAACTTGGAATTCATCTAACAGCAACTCTCTGAAACAAGTTAATATAAAAGAAGACCGACAGTAATATAGAGGAGTTGAGATAGATATACAATATAACCAATAACGTTACAAATATACATGCAAATTTAGATCAAGTCGCACAATAATTTGTATCCGTTTGTCATATTACTTCACATCACAACTGTAGATTTCATTGTATTAATGATTCATGTACGCATGGATCAGTACAAATTTCGACACAATTGGATCCATCACTTAGATCAAGCGTTCGTGAGCGACATCAAAGGTCCTGGGTTCGAATCCCTGCGTGTGTGTGGGGGGGTCATGAATTCAAATTGCTGAAGAGTCCTATGAAAAGATGAAACGACTGTCCAATATTTCCAGATTTCAAGGGTCTGTCGAACTTATATCGGTTAGTGATCTCATCAGATAAAAAATTATTCAGTTTGGATATTTAAATGCAAATAGAAAACTAGTCAATCATGGTGACAGATCACAAATCAAGACGAATGATACAACTTTATTTTTACCCTTACCTAATAGTAACTTAACTTTAGATTGATTATTTAAATACATTTTGTTCAACTTTATACACCAATACATATTCCATAAGAGTTAATAATTAATATTTCATGAATAAATTTGAATGAATATTCTTACTTCTACAAAATTAAAAGCGGTTTCTTAACAAGAAAAGTTCATAAACTATTTCATTTTATCAGTCTAAAATAGGTTGATGTATAAGTTAGACTTGTAAAAGCTAAATCAGATTAGATGTGTTTTGTGTCGTCATAACATCAACTTATTAATTAGTTTAGTTATCATTGATCTTTACTGTAAGATAAACAGAACAAATGATGTGTATAATACAACTTATATTGTTAATTAAAATCATGAGCCAATTGAAGCTAGACCACCCTGGAAACCTGGAAGCACCGGACGGTTGTTTCGTCTTAGTATGGGACTCCTCAACAGTGAGCACCAAAAAAAACTTAACAATCTCCACAACACCTAAACTGATAATTACCGTGTGCTCACTAGTGACTAGCTTCGTGAGAAAATTCTCGAAGTTCTGGTGAGAAGCTGTAACCAGTGGAACTAATCCGTGTAGGGTAGAAACAGGTGTCTACCTCAGTACAATAGAAGATGGTCACTCAATTTCGTGGATTAGTTGAAGTTAGACATTAACACTATTGGATGCCGGCTCAGTGGTCTAGTTGGTTAAGCGCCTGACGCGAGACTGGTAGGTCCTGGGTTCGAACCTCGTGGGATGCGGGGTCGTGGATGCGCACTGATGAGCAGTCCCGTACTAGGACAAGACGGCCGTCCAGTGCTCCCAGGTTTTCCATGGTGGTCTAGCTTCAAATGACTTATGATTTCAAAAAAAGTTTAACAATCTCCATAATACCTAAAATGGTTATATTTTTAAGAGTGATTATTGATTGAAAAGGGATAAGAGTTAAGAAAGGTTTTAGATGATAGTGAATGACACTATAATAGTAACTGACCTAGATCATATGATGAAGTTATAACATTTATATTATTGATACAATGTATTAAATTTTAATGTTAGAGCTTTTTGAGTAGATATAAAAGAGTTTAAATTTAAAGGGAATAAAATACAACAAAATCTGTTATATTATCATCTAACGTTGCAAACTTTGAGGTAGTTATATATACATATATCACGAACAGACAAAGAAACCCAACATTTCTTTTTGTTTCGCTGAAGCAAAAAGGATTAATGAACTCAAATCGGATCATTGTTTCTAGAAAGAGACGGTACATGTACTCACTAAAGACTGACTTCTAGATGTCATTCCTGGAGTTCTAGAAAGAAGCTGTAACTAGTGAAGTTCAACAATATCACACTTAGGAAAGGCATTCATCACAAGCAGTGGAATATGGTTGTGTAATATTATAAACTGATTGAAGTTAGATATTAAAACTTATTTTCAAATGATTTTAAACTGATGTAAACTTTTCACATCTCCTATCATTATTCCATAGTTTATCTTATCAGTTTCTGGACTCCACAAAATTACTATCTCTCTTTGTCTAAATTTTTAAATTCCATCTTTGAATGACCTTACATATATTCATTCACAAATATATAATTTCAACAGTTAAGATCATGAGTCAATTGAAGCTAGACCACCATGGAAAACCTGGAATCACTGGACAGCCGTTTTGTCCTACTGTGGGACTCCTCAGCAGCGCGCATCCACGACCCCGCCTCACGGGATTAGGACCCAAGACCTATCAGTCTCGCGCCAGACGCTTAACCAACTAGACAACTCAACCGGCATCCAACAGTGGTAATGTCTAACTTCAACTAATCCACGAAATTGAGCAACACATCCACCCTTATCTTTAGTGAGTAGCTATCTCATAACTGACCCGGTTGAACTCCACTGATCACTACTACTCACTAGAACTCCAGCATATGCCTCTTGAAGCCAGTTCCTAGTGAGCATATATTGATTAGTACCACAAGGGGTTTTGTGGAAATTGTAGTAATTGCACCAGTTGAGCTCATGAGTCAATTGAGGCTAGATCACCATGGAAAGCCTGGAAGCACTGGTTCGAATCCCGCGAGGCGGGGTCGTGGATGCGCACTGCTGAGTAGTCCCACAACAGGACGAAACGGTCGTCCAGTTCTTTCACGTTTTCCATGGTGATCTAGCTTTAATTGACTCATGATTTCAATTGGTGAAATTACTACAATCTCCACAAAACCCTTTCAAATATATAATTCTCATAAATAATCGCTGGAATTCCAATTCTTTTCATCAATATTGTCAACTACTTCACATTATACTATGATTGAATGTTACACTTTAGTAAGAATATGGTTGTAAACATCTGAAGAGAAGATATAAAATGAAAGGAATTTATATTATTATGTCCTGATTATTATTTTAACTTTATTCAAATTCATAATTAGAGTCACTTGTATGGAATAAAATCTATCAGTAAAGAATATGAAGAATAAGTAGTCTCATTGATATTACTCATTACTAGAGAAAAAGATGATAGATAACTATTGTTATGATTTTATGTCCGGCTTTTCATCACATGATTTTCCACCAGTCAAAATACGACTCAAACAATCTTCGCACTGTGCCAAATCAATGACGTTCGACCGGTATGAGCAGTCTAGCGTCCTTATTGGTCCTATGTTCGCCTAGCCCGTCCACTTGAGTCCAGAACACAAGCACCAGCTTCTGCAATATGAATCATTTATTTCAAACATACTCGGTTTATATATCAACCAGATAGACCGCAACGCACCATAAAATAGGAAATAACATTTGTACGCAATAAAGCCAAAAAGTGGCTGTGAATGTGGGAGGCAGGAGTCAATAAACTGAACATAGCTTAAGAACAGTAAATTGTACAATAATAAATTATAGATCAAAATAAAGCTTATAATATGAGGAATATAAATATACGTAATATAATTATTGAATAGTAATACCATAAGAATATATAGATAATATTAGTCAATTAATGTCTCAGAAGTTACTCGTGATTTAATCTTCGCTCGGATATAACAACTATGATAGTTGAAGAAGTAATATTGTAATTTGGTATGTATGTACGTTTGTTCTGCAGTTGTGAGAAATTGTATTCGTTTATTATACTAGATAATGATTTTAACTCAAACACTGTGTTATCTTCGGGAATAGGTTACCTCAGATTTCATTTTAACAATTTTGATCCAATTTTTTAAAATGTTTTTATATTAAAAGAAACCTTATAATTGTAATAAAGCAAGAAATGATACTTTTTAAATAAAGATGGCTAACGGCTAGCAGTAGAATCCAGGATGCGCGTTTCGTTCTATTTGGGACTAGTCAGCTAGATATATCTCCACCTCAGAGTTGATTTTAACTCTAGAACTCGAATCCACTAATGTCTGCTTCAATCGCCATCGCGTTATCCACTTAGCAACTGAATCTTGATAGCCACCCGCTTGTGCTATCGGGTGAAGTTTAAACTCACTTGGTATTGTTTTACTTGTATCTCCCCATTGTTATTTAGGACTGCAATTGATCAGTCTCTTGTTGGTGTATCCATCTTTGTTTAAAAACGCTTGCGACTTAAGGCTATATCAAGGCAATCTGCACAGGATGCACATATGCCAACACGAGACTGATCAACTGCAGTCTGAAAACTCAGTGGGAAGATACAAACCAAACAATACCATATAAATTTAGTTCTGGTTGCTTCAAATGTCATTGCATTATTTACTTAGCTACTGAATTCAGATAACCACTATTTTGTGCAACGGGTACGAGATTTAACTAAATTTGAAATGGTTTAGATTATCTGATTGATGAAATTATGACTGGAATTTGACTAGTCTTGGTTGGCATATAAGCATACTGTGAGGATTACCTCAATATAGCCATTATGACGAAAGTTGACACAGAACAGATGGAATGTGGCTAGCAATATTATCAAGGAATGGGAGTATCATCTTATTTGTTGCTCATCAGCTGGATGTATTCTATTCTATATCAATTTACATCATAATATCTATGTGGAAGCATTCCACACAAGATACTCATGTATCAACCAAAATCGTTCAGATTTCAATCATATATGAATAGCGGAATCATTCAAATCATTTCGAATTGAATTCAATAATGTACTTTATTCTGATTATTAGTTTTAAAACATGTTGAAATGATTAGCACGTAATATACACTACATCGGTCAAGTAAATTTGTGTAAACTATTAGAATGGTTA